ATCATAGGATCCAATTCTCACACTATCATATCTGGTTTTCTATCCCTTTAGGTTTTTCCAGTTTCTCTTTACCTGTGGCTTATCAAACTCATACATACTACCAGGTACGTTAAGCCTGCTCACGCCATACATCACATATGGTTCCTTCTCTACTTAGGACATAGAGTACTGGCAAATTTTAGGGGTTATAGGCCCAAATAGGTATCCCCCCTCCGGGCATTCTGCCTATCGTTTAGTGGTCCGCGAGGCCAACACCCCGCCTCAACGTTTCGGAGGTAATGCCCCCCGGGCCACACGTGAGTTAGCCGCCTCGCAATTATAGAGAGGGTGCCACCTGTCACTCCCTTCCCCTGTTTTCTTGTATTGTCACCGAGAGGCCTACGAACTCCTGCCACTACGTCGGGTGGCCTCAAATAACCCCTCGCGCCAACGCATAGATAGAGCCTCTCATAGCCACTTGGCAACTAGCAGGGCCTCACCTGTCACCAAAGAACAAGATTAATTTTTCGCCTCATCCGGCATAATTAGCCTGCCAGTACATCCCCTGGGGTTTTTTTACGCTAACCATATATTTTGTAATCTAGTATGTCTCAAGAAGGGGTAGAGGATTTCTCCATCCCGAGTACTCCGGCTAGAGCAAACACCCCATCACAGGAGGAAGATACGGCTAGTCCAGCATCTTTCAGATCATGGACTATCCCTCGCATCACTAGCGAACTCAGGAGACGACAAATCCCTTTTCCAGCAACAGCAAGTAAAGCGGAACTTTACAAATTACTACACACCTCAACCAATAACATGGACGCTGGGGAAGGGTCGAGCCAGTCCAACCCAGGAAACATACATGACATGCTCACGTCCCTCATGGCATCCATGAGCAAGGTCAATTCTAGGCTGGAGAAACTTGAATCGGTCACTACAGCCCTCACTATGGCTGGACCGGCCACGGCAATTCCCTCATCAGTGGTGGAGTCGCAATCAGTTTCTCCAGCCATCACCTCGGATGACCAAGAGGTTTACCCTGCCCACATGATTCCTGAGCACCTCAGGAAAGATATCCTGGAAGGTAAAGATGTCAATCTGGCCTCACTACTAATTGCCTCCCAGGATATAGTGGAACATAAGACATACGCTTACGATATTTCTGTGGTGGTCAAATCTAGGGATGCACGAAACATTATGCTGGTTATTATTAAATGTAGCCAGATGCCCTACAGTTATACACTACCTGGATGATTTCTTACTGATCGAAGAGAACATTTCCCCTCCCAGCAGCCTCATAGAAACCATCAGTCTTTTTAAACAGGTGGGTGTTCCAGTCTCCCCCACCAAAACTGAAGGACCAGATACAGTCATCACCTTTCTGGGAATCATGCTAGACTCAGCCACCATGCAAGCCAGCCTGCCACGCACCAAGATAGAGAACATTCTTACTAACATTAACCTCTACATACACCTCGGTACTTGCAACCGCAAAGAATTGCAGTCTCTACTTGGGTCACTGAACTTTGCCATGCGCATTATACCTCAAGGCCGGGCTTTCATCTCACGGCTCCTATACATGTTCCCACTATTTAGACATGATGCACACAGGTTACCACTGGATACCCAAGCCACGGTAGACCTACTTATGTGGAGAAACTTTTTGACCACCTGGAATGGGAAAAGCATGTTTCTCCCTAAATTGTCTGACTCCTCACCTACCATCTGGTCAGACGCGGCGTCTACCACAGGTTTTGCAGCAATTTACGGGAATGAATGGCTTTGGGGTAGCTGGCCTCCAGAGGTTCAGGACCTGGAAGGTTTTTCCACTACCTCAGCTCTATTTGAGATATATCCCATTGTGGCAGCTGCCGTGACATGGGGGCATCTATGGGCAGGTTCGTCAGTACGTTGCTACTCAGACAACCAAGCTACTTGCCACATCATAAATAAAGGCCGATCCAAGTCACTGACCATTATGAGGTTCTTGAGGAAACTCACCTGGCTGGCGGCATGCCATAATTTCTTCTTGTTGTGTGTTCATGTCCCAGGTGTTTGTAACACGGCTGCTGACAATTTGTCTCGTTTCAATTTACAGGCTTTTCGGCAAATACTTCCGTCAGCCGCACGCACAGCCACGACCACTCCACCTTTCCACCAGCTAGTTATGGACTAGAAGCTATTATGCAACATAGCAGGACATTGGCACAATTAGCACTGTCCACCAATACCCGGAGAACATATGACAGGGCTTTCCTGCTATTTAAAAGATTCCTGTCACTGCACAACATCACACAACCTTTCATCATGACATCTTTGTTGGGTTTTGCTTCTTTTTGCCACCTCAAACTTAAATTATCTTACAACACAATCAAGCTATATCTGACAGGCGTACAACATCACATGCTAACATTACAACCAAACAACACAAGTTTCATGTCCTCCTACCAGATCAAGAACATCCTTAGGGGTATCCAGAGATCCGAACCCCCACGTACCACGCAAAGGCTACCTATAGACTTCAATATTTTCAAAGATTTATCCAGCCTACTAGATTTAAAACCCTTTGCGAACAATACAAACCTTGTTATAAAAACCGCCATATACGTGGCTTTTTATGGGTTCTTGAGACCAAGAGAATATACCGCCATCAACACATCCCAGTCCACTCACATTCTGCTTCATTCATACTTAACAAAACACATGGATTACTATATCTTAGCTCTGCATCACTCCAAAACCAATCAGCACGCACGCCCGGTAGAGGTTAGATACTATCCTACCCACAACGAGTGGTGCCCCGTCATATTACTGGATACATATACTCAGCATTTCAAAGCATCACCATCTCAACCACTTTTTTGTCTACAAGGTTCGGTACTCACTACCACCACCTTCATGACCCACGTCAGGTCCCTACTTACACAACTAGGCCTAAAATCAGCTAACTATTCGGGCCACTCCACATAGGTGCGGCCTCCACAGCGTCCAGTGCAAACATTCCAGTGCATGTTATCAAGTCACTAGGGCGCTGGAAGTCTTCTGCATACTCTAGATACATACCTAACCCGGTACAAGAGGTTAGAAATGCCTTTCAAGATATGTCTGGTTAAAGTATGTATATTGCTCGTTTCGTAATAAAAGTTTATTTTCTACTTTTGCCCTCTTTATTTGCAGGCCTACCTCATCGTCGGTTCCGGCACACCACAACCGACTTGCTCTTTTAATACCATCCCACACTTGTCAGTGTTTGTATCTTCTGTACTATCATGAGCCCTTAACACAAATATATATATATATATGTCATATGAAACATGTATTTATATTTGGGACATAACATGAATTCTGACAGCCAATACAACAGTCTTATCTTACCTAATACAAAGAATGCTTATACTTATGCTTATACACATGCCATTCACGGTTTATGTATTAAATATATACTTTTCTTTTTTTTTTTTTTATTCTTTTTTTTTGCAGGTGATGCATTATATAACATTACAAGATACACAATCCGGTTATCATATTTGTTGCGCATGAATATCCAATATTGTTCCTTGTGTATAGATTGCTAACACCTGATTTTTGTATTTTAATCTGTATATAACAAACAGGGCCGCACTGGGAGAAAAATTCGGCCCGGGCATTTTTTCACCACAGCGGCCCACTAAGAAGGGGGCGGCGCAGAGGAGGTGTGTTTTGTCACCACGGGGTTCATAGTCGGTTGTTGGGGGCCCGTCTGGTTACAATTGGGCCTAAGTGACCCTTTTATTAGCTTGTTGTGCTATCAGTTGTCTATATATAAGCGTGGCGTGTTCTATTCTCATAAATGAAGTTCCTACACCTATAGCAACGCTATGAGAGATAATTATAAGGTGTCTATTGGAATTAGCGTGTGCTTTCTTGGGTAGGTTATGGTAGGTAAATATATACTTTTCTGAAGATGATCTTATTAAGTATCATACCTCCCAACTGTGGGACTTGGTATGGATGCGAGACGAATGTCTGAGGGCTGCTTTAAAGGGACACTATAGTCACCTGAACAACTTTAGCTTAATGAAGCATTTTTGGTGTATAGAACATGTATAGAACATGCTCCTGCAGGCTCACTGCTCAATCCTCTGCCATTTAGGAGTTAAATCCCTTTGTTTATGAACCCTAGTCACATGTGACTTGCACAGCCTTCCATAAACAATTCCTGTAAAGAGAGCCCTATTTAGGCTTTCTTTATTGCAAGTTCTGTTTAATTAAGATTTTCTTATCCCCTGCTATGTTAATAGCTTGCTAGACCCTGCAAGAACATTCTGTATGTGATTAAAGTTCAATTTAGAGATTGAGATACAATTATTTAAGGTAAATTACATCTGTTTGAAAGTGAAACCAGTTTTTTTTTTCATGCAGGCTCTGTCAATCATAGCCAGGGGAGGTGTAGCTAGGGCTGCATAAACAGAAACAAAGTGATTTAACTCCTAAATGACAGTGAATTGAGCAGTGAAATTGCAGGGGAATGATCTATACACTAAAACTGCTTTATTTAGCTAAAGTAATTTAGGTGACTATAGTGTTCCTTTAATACACTACAGGATCTACAGGATGCCAATTACTATTCCATGACACTAAACACGTGTTTGATAAGTAAATACAAACATGAACCTGAATAAACTCTCACAGTCACAGCTCTCCATGATAACTATCTCCAAACTACCACCACTCCACGTGTTTTACTGACCGCTATTGATTATTATTATTATTATTATAGTAATTACTATCATAGTACAGCAATTTATATCTATTACTTTTCCAACCAATGATCCCGGTGACCGGGCAGAAACTAATGGCTCTGGGGTTCTATCAAATTTCACACTTCCGGGTATGTGCTAAGCATGACGGGAATTGTAGTCTGCAGTTTTGCTGTCGGTGTTAAGAATCCTCGGTCTTTTGCCGAAAAAAAGGAAAACCACTTAGCTGTGCACTGAGAAGATACGTGTTCTCAAAGCTTCTGTCGTGTTTTTGCTCGAGTTTAATTTCATTTGGCACAATTGGGGGTTTGTTTAGATGCAAGCAGAACTACAACTCCCGACATGCTACAGTGTGGGCAGACTGGCCTGGACTTGATACAGTGTGTCTCTCTCCCCAGTTCTGTAAATCGTGGCTTGTTCTCTGCGTTAATTTCTGATATCTGCAGTTTCCGATTGACCCTCCATTGTAAGGTACACCTTCTCAGGCTCATCTTGCAGTGATCATGTTTATTAATGAATTGCCAGAATTAGATGTACATAGCTTGGTGTATAATGAATATTTTAGAATTAGCTAATCGTTTGTTAGTGTAATTGTTGTCATGTTATTTTCGTATTTAATGTATTTAGTTGTATAACGCTGGTAAGCTTGCCCCTAGAAAATTGGAGAGGAAGTGCTGTAGGTATACAGTTTTTATAATGAAAGTTACCACGCACTTGAGTATTTTAGATTAGGAGAAGATTCTACCCCTTAGAGTTCATAGTCTGTCAGGGTTATTTACTAAAATGTGAATTTTTAAGAACCCAAAGTAAAAGGTTTTGTTTTTGGCCACAGTAGATGAGCTTATCTATTATCTAAGTCAGCTATATTTTAGTTCTACTATGCTGAGCTAAAATTTCATTTTTTTTTTATTTTAAATTCCCCACAATTCATGTTTTATTGAATAACCGTGTAAGTTTGAACAAGAGGCTTACAGTTCTTAAAGTGCAGTAAATTGCTAGGAGGGGACACTATAAGATTTGTGACAGATTCTAGAAGGTGTAACTTCACAAATACAGATATGTAAGCTTACACATAGGCATAAAGTGATAAGTAAACATAATTGCAAACTATGCAAAGACCCCTAAAAGTGACATTTCTGCTTTAAAAACCTCCTAGTAGGCCGCCTTACAGCAACAGTGATTTTTTTTTTATTTACATTTGAGAAATGATGAAAAGTGCTTATGGTGTTTTAGAATATAACTACAAAAATATAAAAGTTATTTTATTCAACATATACTTTAAATTTGATCACATTTTCAAACGTCAACTGGCACAAGGTATAGATATAGAATATATTTCCTGGATATGCCTATGGCAGTTCTACAGATGGGTATAACTCTTCCCACTCATCTGTAATGCTGCCATGGCCTATGTCCACAAAACAAAAATGTCAGTAAATATGGTATCATCTTTCTGTTTTCCTGGATACGTTCATGGCAGCACTACAAATGAGGGTAGAAGTTATATCCATCTGTAGTGCTACCATGGCCTATATCCAGGAAACGAAAATATTAAGTATGATATAAATATTCTGTTATTACGATTATTGTTATTACGGTGATATTTTAATCTCTATGTAAAAGTAATGTTTGTTTTCTCTTTCAGTGGTCAAAGTTTATTTATTATTATTTTTTTTTTAATCATGTGTGAATTATATATTGCAGTTCAATACATCTATTCATACAGCTTTGTGTCCACAGATGTTTTTTAGAATCGGGAGACTTTTGGAATCTTCACAAGTACCGGTACGTTGTTACTTTTCCCAGAAGGCAAAACTTAATCTCTTTTGTACATTTCTTCATAGACTAGAAAAGAGAAACATAGTCTGCATGGCAAAAAACACAATCAAACCTGATTCTACAGATCCCATTTCTAGTGAAGGAATGGCTGTCAAACGGTTATCTGTGGAAGGGAATATTGCCGTGGGGAAATCCACATTTATGAAACTGTTGTCCAGCTTTTTCCAAGAATGGGAGTTGGTCACAGAACCTTTGCGGAAGTGGCAACATGTCCAGGACTCTGCTCCACATGGAGGTATGGACAACCTCTTACAGATGATGTATGATGATCCTAGCAGGTGGTCTTATACATTTCAGACTGTTTCTTGCATGACTCGGTTTAAAACTCAGATAGAGCCGCTTTCTAAACAGCTGTTGAGTTTGAGAGAGCCTGTCCAGGTATTTGAGCGATCCATTTACAGCGATCGATATGTATTTGCAAAATGTTTATTTGAGTTGGGCCATTTTAATTCAATTGAATGGACCATGTATCAGGAATGGCACTCCTTCCTAACACGGGAATTTGCTGAAAGAGTTCATTTAAATGGAATAATTTATCTACAGGCAACTCCTGAGATATGTTTTGAAAGACTTAAAAAAAGAGCCAGAAAGGAAGAGAAGACCGTACAGCTAGATTACCTTCAAAAGTTGCATGAGCAACATGAAAATTGGTTGATAAAGAAGACAACGAATGTCCACTTTGAACATGTTAAGAACATTCCCGTTTTAATTTTGGATGTCAATGAAGATTTTGAAAATAATCCACTTGCAAGTCAGAGACTCGCTACCAAGATTAAGAACTTCTTAGCAGTGTTATAATATTTATTGTTGCTGTTATTAGTTTATAGAACCCATTATCTGTTGTCAACTGCAACAAAATAAGTTAAATGTTTAATGGAGGTACGGGTGAGAATGGGACCACTTTTCTCCTCTTGGTATAACTTCTAATATGTACTATTATGCTGTATAACTTTAGCACCTTTTTTAAATATATGTTATTTGCTATATAAACCACCATGTGTCCTCAATAAATAAATATTTTAGATACGCTCTAAAAACATCTTTAGCTTAGAAAATAAGTTTTGGTGTGTAACTCATGCGACTGCAGTCTCGCTGCTCAATTCTCTGTCATTTAGGAGTTAAATCACTATGTTTATGCAGCCTAAAACACCCTGCCTGTGGACTTACCTTCCCTACATACTTCCTGTAAAGAGAGATCTAATTTTTAAACGTCCTTTAGTGTGTGTAATTTAGAATTTCTTATCTCTTACTCCATTAATAGCCTATAGAATCCTCCGGTTAAAGGTCTGTTAACAAAGCCATCTGAAGTAAACACACTGTGCTGCTAGACCTGATTGAAATTACATGTTAGCTGTGTGAATCTCAATAAGGGGAGTTGTGACTCGGGCTGCATAAACAGAAGCAAAAGTGATTTAACTCCTAAATGGCACAGAATTGAGCAGTGAGACTTCAGGGTCACGATGTATACACTAATGGCTTCACTAGGTAAAGTTGTTTTGGTGCTTATAATATCCCTTTAAACTACAATGTGTAACTAGATCACATTTCTCCTCCTACAATTGTTTGCATTTTATTTAACATCCAATATACATATTTATAATTATATATTAATATTATTATTTTTTTTAAATTGAGTGCAAAGTTCTATATCTCTACATCAACTCATAAAGTAAAGATAGAAAAAACAGGGTTTTCTAACTTTTTACCTTGGCAGATTATTTACTGTTTAGAATCGAATGAAGGTTGTCATGATTATTTAATAAGATATTATGTTGTTTAAAAAGTGTATGTGTATATACTGTTTTTTGCTTTTTACATGCAAATGTTATATGCATAAAATGTTGAAACTTTGCTCTTGTGTTTTTGTTGTTGTTGCCAAACCAATTAATATGCATCTATTAATGTGCATCAAATAATTCTAAAACTACTATATCATTTAAGTCTATGTATTTATTAATAAGGTTAGTTGTTTTTTTTTTTTGGTATAGTAAGGTGGTTGGGATGGGCTGAATAGGCTGATTTGGTAAGTGCTCATAGCTTGTAAACTGGGGTCCTGTGCACGGTTTGTTTGCTGAAAAATGGCTTGTATTATGAGTGATCACTGCTTGCAAACTTCTCCAAAATAAGGCTAAGTAGTAAGACTTGGCATCAACAATGTATGTTGCATTAATATAAAATAGAAATTTAGTGTAATTCCAGGTTATATGTTTTGAGTCTCTATATCAAGACATATAGGTGGAAGAAATAAGATGCAACTTTGTCAATTAGCTTAGTATGTAAGTACACTTGGAACCGGACTTGACTAAGAAGAAAGGAGAAACATGATTTGAATTACCACAGACACGTTAATCAGTACAATCTCAAAAAAACATACTCACAGCGTATCCGCTTTTCATATCAAACTAGCTGCATACTCTCGTAATTGGAAACAATTAGCCACTCACATTCAAACACTATCACACATGTACACAGACATTCATACATAACTAGCCACTCACACACATACACACTCCAAAAGATATTCATATATAACTTGCCAGTCACTCATAGGTAAATATAAGTACACACCCACATAACTTGCCAAAAGCTCACTTATAAATATTTTCATAAACAGACATTCCTATACAAACACATACATTCACACATACTTACTGATTTAGTTCTGTATCTAGAAAAGTAAGCTGGCACAGTTTATTTTTGAGTTGGCATTGTCCTTTCTAAATTAATCATTCTCTAAAATACGAATAAGGAAATACATGTCCCCATTCTTATCCAGTACATTATTATTATATTTATGTAGCACTTTACAATGGGTGGACTAACAAACATGTATTTGTAACCAGACAAGTTTGACACACAGGAAGAGAGGGGTTGAGGGCCCTGCTCAATGAGCATACATGCTAGAGGGAGTGGGGTAAAGTGACACAAAAGTGTAGGGAAGTAGATTGGTCAAATAGTATTCACTGAAGACTTAATGTGGGTTTTTCATTTTTTTTTAAACAACAATTGCAGTAGATTAATCAGTTGGCAGCCATTAACAGTTTAACAGATATGATTTTGTGAAAAAGTGATTTTGTAATGATTTTTTGAAAGGAGTGGAGACTGTGTGAGCTTCTAACGGAAAAGGGGAGGGAGTTACACAGGATCGGTGCAGCCCTAGAGAAGTCTTGAAGGCGAGCATTAGAGGTGCGAGTACGAACAAAGGATAGATGTAGGTCTTCTGCAGAGTGTAGGTCCCTAGACAGGACGTACTTGTATATTAGGGAGGATCGATAGGTGGGAGAAGCATTATGTAGAGATTTGAAAGCAAGAACCAGAATTTTATATTGAGCCCTATATCTTACAGGAAGCCAATGCAGGGACTGACCGACGGGTGAGGTGCGGGCAGACAGGAAGATGAGCCTCACCGCTGCATTCATTATAGATTGCAATGGGGCAAGTTGGGAGCACGTAAGACCACTGAGAAGCAGATTGCAGTAGTCAAGGCGAGAGAGGACAGTGGCATGGACCAGCACCTTAGCCGCATCTGGCGTTAAGTAGGGGCAGATGCGCGCAATGTTTTTGACATTGGGAAAACTCTCACAGATATAGGTATGCCCACTCCAGAACCACAACTCATTTTACATCTGGCCCACTTCCAGCCTTTAGTCATGACCCAGCTTACAAGCAAGAAATGAACAAAGCAACTTCCAACAAGGTTCTCCCTAACACCGGTGAAGTGTCTTGAAAAATATAGTTTTTCAGGTGATAGCTTTAATTCTAAACTGAAACATGGACAAATAAAAATTAAGTTTTCATTTTTGATTTTAGTGAATTGTATTCTATATGCTGCTTTCAAGCACCCTTAAGTGCAAGACCCTTGTGAATTAGTGGAATATATATTTATGTCTAAATATATGTGTGCGTGTGTGTTTATCACTCCTCACAATTTCTCCTTTTCTGCAAAGTCATTTAGTGTTTTTTTTTTGTTTTGTTTTTTTTTCGTATTGATATGCTTACTTATCCATAAGATATATTTCTACAATCAAACCATGCTTATTGGTAGCATTGTGACTGATACCTGTCCATGTTTAATTATTTCATTTTGTGTATATTGCAAATACAAACATTTGTAACTAACACAATATTTGTGCATCCAAGGCCATTCTTGAAAAGGAGAGAAATGTCTTTCATTTGATGGATTTTACATGACTCATAAACATGCAAGCACAGCTTCCAAGCCTTTAATTTATCTTTCCTGGTAAGACACTTTAAGAAAGCTTATGAAACTGCTATAAATGAAGATTTAGTATTGAACAGGGCTATTTTGTATAGCACTATCTGTATTATAGCTACCATCGGGTTGCCTTAAGTGCACCTTTTTTCCCCTGGCAGTGGATAACTAACTAATATATATAGACACAGCCAATTACACCTGTTATGTGAACACACACAATGTACATATATATTTATATTTACTGGCCATATCAGTGACAGCATAACAATGGGTAGCTCCTCCTATCCCTAATTAGACAGGAACATGTAATTAAAAGAAGATTATAAAAGTCCTCTCCCACCCCTTCCTCCCTCAGTTTTTTTCTTCTTGTCCTATCCCTAAAGACATACCTGGTTGTTTCGGACTAAGAGGTTTTTCTTTTTGGTTTACCTGAGGGTAGTTATCCTCAGTCTTAAGGAAGTTCAGCCTCTCTCCCTCAATCCCTTAAGGACACATGACATGTGTGACATGTCATGATTCCCTTTTATTCCAGAAGTTTGGTCCTTAAGGGGTTAAGAGGTCGTTAGTACACGGCGCTCCGCAAAGGTGACCTCCTGAAGAAACCCCTTTACTGACCGGGGTTATAACTTGCTGTGACCCGAAGGGTAGCAAGAATACAACAAATTGCAGTGACCCAACGGGTGGCAATATGGCAGGTAATGGGGGAAATTCTGGAGTACATACTATGGAAGAAAGCATGTGTATTCTTCTATTTACTTACCCCTGATTTTCTCTCTTCTGTATCTTTATTTTCCCTTCTCTGGTGGTCTATTATCTAGGGGCAGTTTTTCCTGCATTTCATCGTCTTTTAATTTAGTTTTGGGGTCTCCCTGGGGTTTAGGCTTGGCCACCTTGTTGGTGTCCTTCTTTCGTGAATGTGCACGCACGAGCCGAGCACTTAATTCCCATTTCCTATGTGCATTCGGCTGTTTGCCACGAAGATTGTTCGCAGCATTCGGTTCGGCTGAATGCACACGCACAAATTAAGCTTATCAAATCTGAAAAAGTAAATACCATTGTTCTTTCTGTATATAGTGAAGACAACAATTTATGTAAAGAGTGTTACTCACAAGGATAGAGCCGTATCAGTCTCTAGAATAGATGCTCCAAGGTGCCTATACAGGCTAAGATGTACTTCCAGTTCAGGAACCCTGGTGCAAGGCAGGAACTTAGAGACTCAGGATATTAGTAAAAAGTAAAAATCAGGTTTATTGTCAAAACTTACAGACTTTCAGCTGTTTACAATGAACAAATCAAACAAAAGCTATTGAAATAGCTCAGCACAATGACTGCTTCAAGTGGTTTCCCCAAATTCAACTGAAAATGCAACTTATAATGATCCAGTCTCAAAATTATTCAACCTCTTGTATAGAATCCATCACAACAGCACAAATATGCAAAACAGGTGTTGTCTCAAGCACACCTGATGCAACTAATCATGGACTTCATTAGTTGCACCAGGTGTGCTTAGGCTAAAACACTTGAAATACCAGAACTGGCTAGGGCACCGGTTCCCAAACTATGTGCCAGTGGCACACAGGGGTGCTGCAAAGTGGTTTCCCTGTGCTATGATCATAGCACCGGAAAACATTTCTGCTAAACGGGCCAGCTCTGATGACTGCGACCGGGCCCCCTGTAGTGTCGCAGTCTGTGAGGAAGTGATGGCATTTTGCTGCACAATAGACTTCCAATGCTTTGCTATGGGAAAACATTGGATTGGCTGAAATCGTCAAAATTGATGATCTTAGCCATGGAGGTGGGCCCAGCCATGGCAAGACCAGCTTGGCAGTGGAGAAAAGGTTTAAAACTGTTTTACTACAATCTATAGGGAGTCGGGGACCTACACATTTATTCAAGCACTATAGTGTTTCTTAACTTGGTTTGGCCTAGTGCCAGGTTTGGCTAATCAGGCAAAATCCAAGTAAGAAGGTTTTTATGGCAGCTGCCAAAACGCTTGAATAAATATAGGGTATCTCAGGGTGATGTAAGGGAAATTACCAAAGATGGACAGCTCCAGGAAAAGTAAGGTAGACTTAAGATAAGTTTGTATCTCTCCCCAGAATTATTTTTCCTGAGAACAATCCCAGAACCAATGAAAACGAATCAGCCCCCTCTTCCCTACATCGCTGACATTTTAAGGAGTCTATAAAGATCAGTTGGTGTTGGGAGTTAGGTACTAGTTAAGCATGTAATGAGCTATTTTAACATTATTTATGTGTAGACAACAAGTTGGAAACATTTAGTGAACTAATAAACAAGGACCAAGTAAAGGTGAACAGAAAATGTGAGGAGGCCCCAGCTCACATGAATTTACAATGTAAGAATTTATTATAGTGCAAACATATTTAGTAAATTAAAAGCTTGAGCACCTAACTATCAATGCTTATGGTGCATTGAGTTTTGGGTGCCATTCACTAGTTTTTCACCCATTGTCAGCACCCAAAACCTAACTATATTGCAGCTACTTGCATAATGTGTAAATTCCATGTTCTTGTTATCTGTCCATTATTCAGCCTCGGATAGCAATGGTAGGGTGCACACGTGGGATGGTGATATTGCCCGACTTGTTTTCCTACTTAGACATTTAAAGCTTTTCAACGCAGGCACCATTGAAACCTGCAGAAAATCATATTTTTACTCTATTATTTCACCTTAGCACCTTTAAATAAAGTAATATGAGATATTTGCTAATCTCTGATCACTTATCCAGAGTAGTCTGCAAAGTATAAGAATCAGATAACATATTCCAAATACTATTTACAATTCACTAACATTATTTAAAAAATGCTTTAAACACGTTGTCTATGTGTGTTTAGCAATGGTTTGCTATTCAATGAAAAGTTATTTTTATTTTTTTTCACATATACTTTATTCATGTCTTAAACATTTCTGAAGATTTTTGGTGTTTAGCAAGTTGAATAGACATACATTTTATATCTCTACAATAAAATCGACAGAGTTTTCTTTTGCTTTGGCACACTAATGATGACCCCGCATTACTGTGTGCTAGACTAAAGGTCCAACTGAGTTTTAGATCCAAGAAAGAGGTGTGAATAAATTTAAAAGTTTTGTATTAGAGAGCGTGTAAGGCTAACATGAGGCAAGACTAATTTGTGCAAAGAGCTTTTAGACGGATTTTGCAAGAATAATTATCTTGCCATTCAAAAGGCCTTCTTCATTTCCATAAGAATGCCCCCATCACGTGACCCACACATCCATGCTGAAAGGCCCAATTCATAATATTTCTTGGCTTGCTTCCTTAAGATTCACTCTTTATGCATTCTGAGAAAAGGGCAGAATGCAGTTGTGTGTAATTAAGCCTGGTTTGGAATTCATGATGCTCTGTGTCTTTGTATAGAAGTAGTTACCTTCTAGTTAAGTGCTATGCGTATTCACAACTTCGTAACACAGGCAAAAGTGGTTGAAAAGGCTGCTTCTAGGCTCTTGCAGGTAAGAATGTGAATCCATGAATACATTAGCAACTTTCTAAATAAAAGGCATGCAAATAAATGTCACCAAAAGTAACATGCACCCTAACATTGTTTATATTTTTTAAACTCGTTAACAGTACATAAGCTACTGTTATCCTTGAATTATTCTTTTTTTTTGTTTCACTGTTTTATAAAAACATCAGCCTAATCTACTTTTTATTTTTTATTTTTTTTATAGCGATAAATAATCAAAATATCATTTTTTACCATGTTTTGTGGTTAAAGACGTCTTCCTGCAGGAAAGAGTGAGTTCCGGACTGGAGCAGCGTGCTCCGCACTTAAGAAAGAAAATCAGTGAGTGAATAGAATTGCCTGCCTCTGAAAAAGTACATGGCATTTGTTTATACAAACTAACTGCATTTTTAAACATCTGCTTCCATTAAATAAACAAACCAAACAAATATGTGTTTATTTTATTGTCTGTTAAATAGTTTTTACTCTTCTTCAATACTCTAACCACGGTGCGGAACATTTCACAAACAGACTACAGAAGCCATTCCTTCTAAATTATAGTGTAACTATTGCTATTAACTAAAACACAAATTGTTTGATCCCTCTACTCTACATTGGAGTTGAAAGGGTTACTCCAGCAACCATGACGACTTCTCCTTGATGTAGTGATTGTTGTAGTAATCTGGATTTGCAGTTTTTCAGCTTGAAAAACGGTCCATCCAGAGGCATTTGTAATTGGGTGCCAGGGGCTAGATGCATACTTTTCGTGTGGCTCACGAGATGTTGGGAGGAGGTGTGCCAAGTAGTTTTGGGAGCTTCACGTGGCACTGGATTTAGGATGAGACCAATTGGCCTTTTCACAATCTCTAATCTCATTTTTAATATGTGGGGTAAATGCTCCTTGACCTAAGGAGACATCTGAATGCCATTCTTCCTTCTTTTGGATTTACAGCAAAAACAGAAACGGATGTGAGAAAGGCTGTTCTTAATGAACACAAGTCTTTTTTTCAGCCGATTTACAGTATACTGTAGTGAACTGATCACTGAATGGCAATATTGCCACTAAATAGTTAAGCTGTACCTATAACTGAATTGGAAATGCTTATCCCTTTTTGATCCATTCAATTTGATTAGTGAATAAATCATAAGGGACCATTTATAAGAGTTATCTGCAACATGTTTTCTTTGTTGACATAAAGAATATTGCAATAAATCTTTTGAATTATTTAGAATGTTTGGCATAAGCATTCTGTTCACAATTGTCATGTATGAGTGCTATATTAGACAGCACATATGTATGAAGACCATGTTTATGATATTTTACAAAGGGTTTTGAGCTCTAATGTGACAGCCGTTAAAATATACCCTTTTAAAAAAGGCAGACAGACCAGTCAATGACTAAGTTATTCTAAAGCAGGGGTGCTCAAAAGCTAGATCCTCAGATGTTGTAGAAGTACAGTTTTCATGATGCATTGTCATTCGAAAGTATTCAAAAGGCATGCAAAGCATCACAGGAGTTGTAGTTCTACATCTGTGGATCTAACTTTTGGGCAATCCTGTTCTTAAGCTTATAATGAAGTGGAAACATGACAACTTGACCTTCTGGTCCTACCCTCAAAAACGACAGAAACTCATAAATGTGCATTTCTAACAATTAAATCCTTTTTGCGATTTAATCAGATGCTTGCCAATACTACTCGATAATTGAAAATCATCAGTTAGGAAATTCCTCCATTGGCTGTCAGTCTGACAACCACCAAAGGCATGTTTATTGCCAATCGTAAACCATTGCCATTACTCTGTAATAGAAATATTTAGCTTTACCAAGAAAAGAAAGAGACAGCATCTATGGATCGAAACCGCTGGGTGCAACTTGCCCCCAGCACGCAATTAAGATAATCTTTGGATGTGCAGTTTTTCAAGCAGAAAGTCTCCTACCACCATGATCACTTCAAAAAGCAGAAATGGTCATGGTGGTTGGAGTTACCCTTTAAGGTGAAGTGGTTTTGTTGCGTTGAAGGTCACTTTAACTAAAAATCGACTTAGAAGGGGATAAAATTGCATTCATTGTGGAAAGTATATGGAATTTCTACAATAAATTAAATCTTAATTTGCTTCTATTAAATAAGCAACAAACTAAACAAAAACATGTTTTGTTAACAGTTAAAACAGTTAAAAGAGAAGTTATGCTTGTTTGTTTTGTATTCTTCATAAGCCATTCTGTTTGATTTACAGTTTAGAGTTGTGAGTTTGTTTTAATTATTTTATTGATGATCAAGCATATCATTGCTAAAGTTGTAAATAAAAAAAAGCTAAATTAACTAAATATGAACAATGCAATCTGAGCAAGAAAATAATGATAAGGTAGAGTATGGAAGTATGGAAACTCAGTGACCACTCTGAAAATGCAACAAGGATATGCAAAGAAATAGTGGACACAATTTTGGAACGTAAAAAAAAAGGGATCTTCAAACGCTAATGTTTGATAGTTAGAAGGAAAATGCCCTTGTATTGGACCTCAAAGTAGAGGAGCTTCAGAGTAAATTTCAAAAGGCAGGCCAGCATAAAAGAAAAACAGAAGAAAGCAAGAGGAAATAAGAAAAAGGAAAGGGAGGAAAATATGTAAATAATAAAAACAAATAAAGCAAAGCTTATTTATAGAACAGTCTAAGGTCCATGTGGGTGGTCGCTCTAACAAGCCTGAGACAAATAAGTAGTCCAGTAAGTAAGCACTGGCACCAAAACCAATTTTTAACGATACATATGAGGTCAGTGGTACAGGTTCTATTCACTAATTTTAGCCCAATCTTGAAGAGTTTGCAGTTTAAAGGTTTACTGTTTAAAAGTACGACCTTTGGGTCAGGGTCAAGCTTCACATTGAGGACATGTTGAGTAGTCTACAAACAGCACACCAAAACGGTTGTACATGATTACAGCGTTATCATGAAGGAAAATAAGATACCACCGCCCCGAAAGCCTCTGGATTCAGTGGAAAGCGTGATAGGTAGATCTTGCTTAGTTTCTGAGAATCCAAGTACCTGTGTTTGGCACATTTAAAGGCATTTTCTTTCAAAGTGGTGCATACAGTGATTTTCAGACAATTATTTATACAAACATTTAAATGGGTCAATTTCAAAGTTAAATACAAATACAAGTTGTATTTCAGTTAGGACCATGCTTGCCCTGAGCGTAACTCCACTGAAATAGGCATGCTTTTGAGGTCTTGAAAGCTGTTTCAGTCTGAAATGGTGCCACCAATATCACAAACCAACATGGGCCCGTAACTAGACCACTTAAATTCCCCAAAACCTATGTCCATAGCATGTATGAAATGAAGGATCACCTAGAATTGTCTTCATATATGAGTTAGGGTGGGAAAGACCATTTCTCACATCTCTCAATATCCACCCACCATTAATGTCTGACAGAGAGTTCCATTTGAATGCACCATTTAATGCACACAAATATAGTTACAACAATGGGCCAGAGAGACAACCACATGTAATAGACCTCATCAAGGTTTGGGTAGCTAGGTACGTGTGGTTATAACCCATGGTATGGGTAGCTAGATGCGTGTGGTCATAACCCATGGTATGGGTATATGGGTAGCTAGATGTGTGTGGTTATAACCCATACTATGGGTAGCTAGATATGTGTGGTTATAACCCTATATAAATGTCCTCAATATCTCCAGTTAGGGGTATGTGAGACAATGAAAGAGATAAAAGAATTTTGGCAGTTTCACAATTTTGACAGCAAAGATGCAAGAATTTTGACAGTATCACAATTTTGACTACAAAAATGCACCCGATGAGTGATATATTGCCAGATTTCCAGCTATTTAGCATGTACTTGAGTGAAGAGTACATGGATGGATAATTCCGCACATACTGGCATTTTGCTATCCTCCACCAGCTTTACCCCCAGACTACATATCACAAGGGCAGCATCCGAGAAGCATCTACAGCACTTTGATTAGTTGAGTTTGCACCCAGAAAATGTTGAAAATCGGTGCAAAAGTGCATAAAGATTAGGTAAGGTAATGCAGGGATTAGACAATGTATGTTTAAAACACCTACTACCAATTATTTTAGTCACTTTACCCACTCTCTCTAACATAGAAATATAATAATGTAAGTTGACATATAAGACTCATGTATATCAAGTTCAACCTTCCATTACCTTCTGGCCTTGATCATGCTTGTTTATGCTGAAATTTGTAATCAAAACTCAGAGACTAAGGGATTACAGCATTATGGTTGTATGAGCATTATGGGATATGCAGTCCACAACATCTGGAGTGCTGAAACTTGCCTACACCTGATCTACCTGATAACTGCTGTGTTTTATCATAAAAACTTACAAAGCCACAAACCGGCCATTCCTGTTTGCTATACACATTATGACCATGGTATTAAAGTTCTAAAGGTATTAATTTTTCACTTGATTAAAATCTTCACGTGATTAAAATTACATTTTCATATAACTGATCCCCTTTAAACAGCAAAAGCTGCTATGTTTTTACAATAGAGTTCACCGTGTTCTAGACTGAAATATCCTGTTCCATTTTTGTAAGCAGAGAAGAAAAACATTAAGTTGTTTTTCTCTATTCATGATTAAAACTTCTGATAGAACCTACTGTTTCCATAGAGCCGAGTCCTAGATTTCTCTTTAATGTAATTAAGCCTCAAGATTTATGAATACAACGCACTAGAACTTGATCCATGCTCATTTTCAATTACTGCAGTGAAAACCCCCCATTCAGATGTCTCTATTTACTGCATTGAAAAAATTGGCAGGATTTGAGGTCTAAGTGGGAGGGACCACGGATTGTCACACTTGTTAAATTCGTTCTGAGGGCACTCAGCAGAGGTCTTGGCATTGACCTTGCTTCAAAAGACCCAGGTCTGACATGGCGAATGTATCAATGATTAGAAGAATGACCCTCACAACCTGCCCCATTCTCTCCCTGTGCTTTGTAGGTATTTATACAATAATGGAGAACCAATCCTTAATTTTACGTTGGCTACAGTTGTGCAGCATGAGATAAAAGATAATTGCTGTGATGTGAGAGGCAAACAAATAATAGGAGGAGAAAACCTGCCTTGGCAACAGTAAAACTATGGAAGTCTGTAATAAAAAATATATAGCGCATTTGGTGATCCAATTAATTAGACACATTTTTTTGAGTTTGGTGGAAGGATTTAAAGATTATTTTTCTATTGTTTTCTGTCTATGCCTTATTCAATCCAAACGCACATTGACCTCAGATACTATTAAAAAGTGCAGTGAAATCACTCAATCAATATAGGAATCTGATAAGCATCTATATCATGGTATGTGTTTATTAGTTTTCCAGATATAAGAATTAACATAGGAACACACACAGTGTATTCATTAAAA